CGACGTCGCCTTCTGCTGTGCCTCTTGACAAATTTCACGTTTCTGGTGATTTCTCAGTCTCACGCTTTTCACAAATTTGACTCTTCTTTGCGTTGATTTATGCTTGTAATGTATCTCTTCTTTTAATGTCAGTTGAAGTTTGCTTAAAACCTTCAAGCACAGCTCGGCCTGACGATGTCCAAAAAGCCGTTGAACAGTAAGATGTTAAAATGATTTTGGTTTATTTATCTATTTAAAAATATTTGACTGATGATGGCTGTTGTTTGATGCTTATGTTGTAAGAATAAGCTTGTAAATTAATTAGGGCCAGATTTGGTGGTTTTAACTGAAATGTGAAATTAAACTTTTCTGTCTTGCAATCAGAATGCTTGAAAAGAGAAGCCTGAGCTACATTGATGGTCCCATACAAGTGTCTAACGATAATCCATTTCTTATGGAAAATGTACACAGAATCCGTATATGTGACACAGGTATGTTCTATTTTGTCTTCTTTTATGCTCTCATTTTTGTCTTTAAAATTTAAAATTTTCAGTGAGTGGGGCATGAGAAAAATAAGGAATTGCGTGTTTTTTTTACAGAATTAACCGTTAAAATAAGGAATTGTATTTTAGTTTAAGAGTTCGATTATTTCTGTACGGAGGATGATGGATTATAATGTACTCATATTGTTCACGCTGTTTGTTGTCTAGATGAATGGGTTAAAAGCCATGATGTTCTTTTGTTCTGGCAAGTGAAACCTGTTGTTCATGTCTTTCAGGTACCATGCTACTCTGATTTTATTAAGGTTAAAAGGTTATCATTTTGTTATTATTATTTTGCTCATTTTCCCAACAACTTGACTTAGCAATATCTGTCTACATCTTATTTGAAATTGATTCACATTTCAAATGAACATCTACTTAAGTTTTGTAACAGAGGATGTTGATACAGTTTTTGCCTGGTTGCTGAAATTGAGAAACGTCTGATCAAATCTTCAGTTTATACTTAAATGTTTTTTGTTTAAAGTTGAATGGATATGATTGTTGAATTGTCAGCTTAGTGAGGAGGGACCATGTGAGGAATTAACTGTGGATGGCCAGTTGTCTAGCTTCAATGAATGGATCCTACCAGCTAAGGAATTTGATGGCATGTGGGAAAGGTTTGTCTGCAGCTTCCATTTTTCTTGAATGTTTGAATTAGTTTTTATATTGATTTTGGAACTTGATTGTGCAGCTTAATCTATGAATCTGGCCTAAAGCAGCGGTTATTGCGTTATGCAGCCAGTGCATTACTTTTTACTGAAAAAGGTGTTGATCCTTTCCTTGTGTCATGGAACCGGTATGGAACCTCCTCATCACTTTCAATAAAGTAGTATCATTCTGTTCCCAGAAAAGAAAAGAAGAAAACGAAGCGTCGTTTCTCTCTTTCAGAACTAGTACCATGATCCTTATCTAGTAATGACCAACCTGATTAGATTGTTTCAGCTGGGGCTTTCATAGTTGGACCCTTATCTAGTAAGACTAAAACTTCAAATAGAACATTCTGGATGTTGGCTTTTGAATGTATCAACTTGTTGTCCATCTTTCATCATCATGCATATTTACTTGTTCATATTTATTGTTTGACAATACCACTTTGTTTTAGTTCTGTATTCTTGATGATGCAAAGCTCTGTAGAGAGGGAGAGAGCTTACAAGCATCTATATAAATATACATGGTTACTTTTCAACATTCAAAATTTTCTTCATGGCGTTTGGCAGTTCTCCTGTTGCATGACATTGCCCTTAGGGCAACTTCTAGAAATAGGATGAAGCATGGCATCATATTGTCTACTGGTCACTGGTTCAAGACTGTTAAGCAGCAGATAATATTAGTTTCTTCTTTTATATTTTCTCCAATTTTCTACGCCATCTAGATAATATCAGTTGATTACAGGCATTGATATTGATAATAGTAACACAAAAATCTGTTCAATAATTTTTTTTCTGCAGCATTATACTTTTACATGGGCCCCCGGGGACGGGAAAGACATCTTTATGCAAAGCACTGGCACAGAAATTATCCATCAGATTCAGCTCCAGGTCTTTTGTTAATTTCAGTGTGTAATGCATATATCACTTTAAGGCCTTATACACAGCTTGTGAGATGGTTGGTTCTAGCCTGATTTTATCTTTGGTTTCCATTCTTTTTTCAGGTATCCACAGTGCCAATTAATCGAAGTTAATGCACATTCATTGTTTAGTAAATGGTTCTCTGAGAGCGGCAAGTTGGTATGTTTCTGTATCAATATTTTGAACTTATGACAGAAGTATCATGAACTCTTTACATTCTTAACCCCGGTCATAACTTTAGGTTGCAAAACTTTTCCAAAAAATTCAAGAAATGGTGGAGGAAGAACACAATCTGGTATTTGTTCTAATTGGTGAGTTTTTTAATACCGAAGCTATGGTTTTGATCATTTCTGGTCTTTCTAGCTTATGATTTTTTGGATATATGCTGCTGCTGCTACTGCTACTGCTACTGCAGATGAAGTTGAAAGTCTTGCTGCTGCTAGAAATGCTGCTTTGTCTGGTTCCGAGCCTTCAGATTCCATTCGGGTATAGTTTTGTGCATCATTAAACTACTACATAAATTTTTTCTTAAACGCACATCTTTATATGAGTATATTTACCTCAACTTTATACCGGATACAACTTGAAAATGTACCTCAGGTTGTAAATGCGCTATTAACTCAGATGGATAAGCTGAAATCATCTCCCAACGTTATAATCATGACTACATCCAATATAACTGCTGCTATTGGTAAGCCTATAATCCATTTCATATTGGTTCCTTATTCTCAAATTTATGGCATTTACTTGAACTCTGCAAGTTTGCATGGTAATTTGCCATTATCTCCTTGTGGATTCAATATTGGAATCTTCCAACTGTTAGAAAATTTTCTCGGATAGTCCTCTAAATTAACGTATTGAGGGATATTTTACATTTTTCATATTTATCAATGGCACCAGTCCCTGAAATATTAGGCTGGAGAAGTATCAACTGTTTTGGAATGTATAAATTTACTATTAGTGTTGCAGATATTGCATTTGTTGACCGAGCCGATATCAAAGCATATGTGGGACCTCCAACTCTTCAAGCTCGTTATGAAATTTTAAGATCCTGCTTGCAGGAACTTATGCGGACAGGAATCATATCAAATATCCAGGTAAGAATGCAAAACAATGCCCAAGGCCTCCATATTTTCATCTCTTTACTTAATGCCAAGTCAAACATGAATCTCTTTAGGGTTCAAGCCAATACATCCTTCCAGACTATGCTACTTTGAAAGAGAAATCGAATATGGATGAGAATCAGGAGGTTCAAACAACTATTCACCTGTGTAAGCAATTAGCAGAGGCTGCCGAAGCATGCGAGGTTAGACATCGAAGCCCTGATAGTGAGCACATCGAATCTAGCAACGATTTTTGGTGAAATAAATAAGTATTTTTGGTATGTTTTGTTTACAGGGATTGAGTGGAAGAGCATTAAGAAAACTACCATTTTTGGCGCATGCAGCTCTGGACAACCCTTATTGTCGTGAGCCTAGCAAGTTGTTGAACACAATGACAGTCACGGCGCGGAGGGAGCGTTCGGAACTACCCGACTGAAGTAATGGAGTTCTGAATTGGTGTAAAATGGATATGATATTTTCATGCTAAAATTGTTAAATCTTTAGCAACATCCACTGTCACCGGTGTCCTGTCTATCCGACTATAAATCTTCGCATGTAATGAGAATATAGGCTACGGGAAGAGACGAAGATGATTGATTAGTAAGAAAACTAAAGTTTCAATTTAGGAACCCCATTCTCCAGCAATATATCTGTTTACAAGGATTGCTTAAATTCTCTTGCTTTATAGTTTAAGGTTAATTACACCAGACATCTCTCACTATGGCTTAGATTTTAAATTGGTCCTCAATTTAAAAAACATTTAATTGAATTCTCAAAGTATTAGTGTCGTATCAATTAGGTTTAGTCTAATTATCAACTAGGGTCTTAGAAGTTAGATCAAACTTGACGTAGAATATATTCGATATATGTGGATTATATTTAAAAAATGTATGTATATAGTTTAAATTTGACATACTTCAAAACAAAAACAAAAACAGAAAGAAAGGCTTACTAAATATCAATCACACTGTTTTTAACGCTAATTCTTAATACATGTATTTACGGGTTTAAAAGTTGATTGAAGTGTTTTAAATATGTTTTAAAAGTTCAATATAACTATTTTTTGAATTAATCACTGGTGTCCGATCAATTGACCGACTAATCTAAATTGGGTATTGTAGAGGCAAAGGCAACCCTCTCAACCCAGTTTGTTCTATTCGCAAAAGCTAGGATTCAAACTCCTGATCTTGTAAAAGGAATCTAGTGCCTCATCCTACTAGACCAACTGATTGTTGGTTCAAGATAACTATTAAACTAACAAAAAAAGTTATTTTATGGTTGATAATAATTATAAAACTGATTAAATATTTGGTAACAATTAAAAATAGTAAAATATAAATATTGATAAAATAATATATTAGGAAGATCATATTTAAAAAGAAATATATACGAATCAGGTAGGGCAACATGAGACGGTTCCTATCGATGTGAAATTCTTTATCTTTATTAAACTCGACTCTTTAAGGTCACTAAATTTAAAGAGATCCTAACTTGTAATAATGACCGATCTACCAGGTAAGTTTCCAAAAAAGAGAGGTAATGCACAATTCACACTACTTACCAATCAAATATTTATTGATTTTTCTCTCTTTTTATTATTATTAAAGTATCTTAATAAATTATGCTTAATACTTTTTACTCACAATGGTATAGTTAAATTAAGTTCAATTTTCAACATCTATCCATCCAATCTAAGCTGAAAAACATTAACCAAGTATTATGATTGCTCTAAAAGAGTAAGGTATAACATAGATCAAAGAAGAAAAACATGCTTGAGATAAAGCAAGACATGCTTGACCAAACTTATGACATGAATATTAACCAACTAGATTTAACATGAGGTTGAAGCAAAAGAAATACAAAACTCCAAATATGAAATTGGAATCAAAGAGGTTTTAAAAATTGTGATGAAACTAATTGCATGACTTTAACATATGAAGTTTTTTTGACATCACTGCAAATGCAAATAACATTTTTTGCAACTTAGGTGTATCCAAAAATCACTCAATGATGGACTGAATAACACCGGCTCCAACTGTCTTCCCACCTTCTCTGATTGCGAACCGCATCCCTTGTTCGCAAGCCACGGGCATAATGAGCTCAACTACCATCTTTACACGGTCACCGGGCATAACCATCTTAGACTCTTCATCCTTATCATTCATAATGGAAGATACCTTTCCGGTGACATCGGTGGTCCTCATGTAAAACTGAGGCCTATAACCTGCGAAGAATGGAGAATGCCTACCACCCTCTTCCTTCTTCAACACATAGACAATGGCGCTGAACTTGGTATGGGGCGTGATAGTTCCCGGTTTAGCCAAAACCATCCCTCTCTGAATATCAGCCTTTTGAACACCTCTAAGCAACAATCCAACATTATCACCAGCCATGGCATCATCTAATATCTTTTGAAACATTTCCACTCCAGTAACTGTGACATTCCTGGTTTCCTTCAATCCAACAATGTCAACAGTATCTCCAACCTTAATAGTACCTCTCTCGATACGACCGGTGGCGACAGTACCACGGCCGGTGATGGAAAACACATCCTCAACAGCTAACAAGAAAGGTAAATCTGTTTGTCTTTGAGGAACAGGAATATAGCTATCAACAGCATCCATAAGTTCATAAATCTTATCAACCCACTGGTTTTCTCCTCTAGGAATACTGGGTTTAGCCATTAAAGCTTCTAAAGCTAAAAGTGCAGAACCAGAAACAATAGGCACATCATCACCAGGAAATTCGTAACTAGAAAGCAATTCACGCACCTCCAATTCGACCAATTGCAAAAGCTCTTCATCATCTACCTGGTCTTGTTTGTTCAAAAACACGACCATGTTTGGGACACCAACTTGTTTAGCCAACAAGATATGCTCTTTAGTCTGGGGCATGGGTCCGTCGGCTCCGGAAACGACCAAGATGGCACCGTCCATTTGGGCAGCTCCAGTAATCATGTTTTTAACATAATCAGCGTGCCCGGGGCAATCCACGTGGGCGTAATGGCGGTTCTCGGTTTCATATTCGACGGTGGCGGTGTTGATGGTGATACCACGGGCACGCTCTTCAGGGGCGGCGTCGATTTCGTCGTACTTTTTCGGGGCGCTGTTACCCATGGAAGCTAAGGCCATAGTTAGAGCGGCAGTCAAGGTGGTTTTACCGTGGTCGACATGACCAATGGTGCCGATGTTGACGTGGGGCTTTTTGCGTTCGAATTTGCCACGGGCAGCTTTGACTGTGAAATAGGCACGGCGGTGGGGGAAGACGGAGGAGGTGGAGACGGTGGTGATAAAAGGAGGAAGGAAGGAAGAGGAGAGGTGGGTAGGGGTTAGTTTAGGGATAATTGAAGAGAAAACTGCAGAAGTGGCTGAGGAGTGAATAGGGAGAGGGGAGGCTTGTGGGTATCTAAGCTTAGAAGAAGCGACAGCGGCGGTGCCTGCTGGTGATGAAATTGCCATTTCTTCGTAACCGAAGGAATTAAGAGGATAGTTTTGGCCTTTGGATTTGGCGACGAAGAAGAAGGAGGAGAAGGAGAAGTGATTTGGGGTTTGTTCTTATTCTTCTGGCTTCAGATTGAGGGTTTGAGGCCAATATGAGCTGTTATTTTATCCACTTCTGCTTTCTCTGCTGTTCGGCACAGGTGAGCATTCGATGCAGGCGAGTTGAGTAGAATTAAAGAATTTGAGTTATAAGTGGTGTATTTCATAATTTAAATTTTATTTTAAAAATTTTAAGTAGAGTTGAATCAAATTGAATTGTTTGAATTTTTATTTAAATTTAATTATAAATATTTATAATACTATGATATTATTTAATTTTAATTTAAATAAATTTTTATAAGACAATAATAATGTACAATACATATATATATTTTTCATATGAGTTGTTTGAGTTCTATTTTAAACTCAACTCAAATTTAAAATTTTAGTATGTGTTATCTTATCGTTTATTTATCCAAATATCATCACAAACAACTTGTTTGTCCGATTCTCTTTTTTTCTTTTATTTTTTTACATTTTAAATATTGGTGAAGGTAGGAACTAAATTGAACACATGATAAAAGTTAAAATTTAAACTGTGAATTTTAAGGAATTTAAACACTAGTGATATAATTTTACCATTTTCTTTAACAAAGGGTAAAACTAACAATTGAACATATAAATGAACAATAAGTGACCGTTATACGAACATGTTCGTGAATATGTTGAGTTAATTGATCGACGAATATGACCAAGAGGGGGGTGAATTGGCAATTAAAATTTTGGTGGAAGCTTTTGCAGAAAATTGAAAGTAATTGCACAACGATTTAGAGTGGTTCGACTTTCTCAACCAAAGTCTACGTCCACTACCTTAGCTATCCACACTAAGGATTTTCCACAAATTCACTAATTTTTCTTTCTTTTGAGGACAAAGAGTAACCTTACAAACCCTCAAGAATTATACCCTAAATTCTTGAGAACACTCTCTCCCAAAGAGAACAATACAAATTTGCAAACTTACAAGGAAATCCTCACAAGGTAGATTGTTTGCACAATTCTAGAACAAAGAAAAGAACACTCAAGAATGAATACAATTGAGTACAAGTAGTGTTCTTGAAAGGAAAATGAATATTGAATAAAAAAATAGGCTTGAAATGCACAAACTTGAGGTTTGATGCTTTCTCTTTGATTCTCTCTTGATTCTAGTTGATTGTTGTTTCTTGTTATTGATTAATGGCTTCTAAGCTTGTTTAAATACACCTTGAATCACTTCTGAACGTTGGGGGATCATTAATGAAGTTATTGGAGCCGTTTAAGTGTGAAAACAATTAATATTTCTGCTTGGAGCGTTGGGGGAATCGGTACCCCCTTATGGGGAATCGGTTCCCTAAGTGTAAAATTCAAATATTTCGACCGTTAAACAGGGGGAATCGGTACCCCCTTGGGGGGGAATCGGTTCCCTCTGAGCATTCTGTTTTTCTCGGAGCCAAACCATTCAGGGGGGAATCGGTACCCCCTTGGGGGGAATCAGTTCCCTCTGAGAAATCTGGAATTTTTGGCTTTGAAATGGTTCGAAACATTTTGTAAAATTGGTTTTGAAATTATTTTAAGATTAAAACTTAATTTTACACTTGAGTAAGGATTAAAAATGACATTTGAAAGATTTTGAGTAATATTTTGATATTCAAATAATTATATCGAATATACTTAGAAAATCTTTTTAGAAAATCTTAAAATTCATTTAACTTAATTTGTTATATCGAAATATCAAAATATTTTCAACAATCTCCCCCTTTTTGATATAACAAAACATTTTAGTAATTTTATGATTTTATTTTGAAATCAAGTTTGAAATAAATCAAGTTTGAAAGTACTCCCCCTTACTCTTTGAAATTACCCCCCCTTACTCTAACACTTCTCACTTTAACATTTCTCCCCCTTTTTGTTAAATCAAAAAGACTTTTTAAAAGAACTCTAAACAAGGTTTTGAAAAATACTTTGCCAATTGATTATAATAGATATAGCTTAAGCTGCTAAGAACACAATCAAGAGAAACGTTAGCCATTAGCTTCATAATCAATATTCATAAACAATGTGATATGACAAAATTGGTCATATATCTAATTGATGTATATGATGCAATAATGAATAAATTTAACCAAACCAAATATATAGAAATATAAGTTCAAACATCCATAATTCATCAAATTAGTTCAAATATCCAACAACCAAAGTAAAAACAATCCAAAAACATTCAAAATGTTGAAACAATAAGCTTTAAGTTCAAAGTACTAAAGCATAACACAAAATCAAGCATCCGTAGGAGGATCGGGAGAAGGAAAATGAGCTCGCATAGCGGCCATCTCATGTGAGAGTGCATCAATGCGTTCATTCATAGAAGCGTTGTTTGTGCGCATCTCCCGGAGAATTTCCAATTGTTGAGCTCCCATTGTGGATAAATGAGATTCTATGGAAGTGAAGCGAGAGTCCATGTAAGCATATCGGAAATCGAATGTCTCCATAAAGGATCGAATGTCTCCATAAAGGATCGAAAGTATGGAGGCATTTGATCCTCTGGCTGTGCTTGTTCCTCTGCTCGTGCTTGTTCCTCGTGCTATTCTGGTTCATTGTCGGAGTCGTCAACTTCAGGCGGTTGCTCACCGGTATGAACCCAAAGACCAGTTTCTTCATTGATCTTCCATCCCGATTTAGTTAAAGAGAATATATTGATTTGGTTTTTGAGGGGAAAGTAAGCATCAAGACCAACTCTAAGCCCAATCTTCTTAAACAGATTACTAAGAATATAACCGTAAACTAAAGAAGAACACAATTTCTTATTGGGAACAAGATTTACGGTTTTGACAAGTTCAGCAAAAATAATCTGTGGAAGGTTAATTTTGTGATTATTTTGGACACAATGAAGCCAAAATAGATCTAAGGTGCGAAGAGTAGAGTAACAGCCCCCGGATGGTCGAAACCACCAAGAGATCATTAGGTGAAAAAAACGGTCATGAAGGTCTAGAACACTTGCACTCGCTTATACTGAGATCCTACCGTAAGTTTTTCATTGTCTAACCCTTCATTATCTAATCCTAATGATTTGGAAATGGATTCCGAGTCAAGATGAAAGAATCGTCCTAGAAGATAGGATCGAATCCCTATGGTTAAGGTTTCCTCTCAGTTTTTAATGCAAACGGCATTAGAGTAGAAGATACGAACAAGTTGATGGTAGACAATTGGTTCAAGCTCGAAGAGTTTGTCAAATTTCCACTCATGAAGAGTAGGAAGATGACGAAAATTGATGTCTAGCATGGCTTAAAGAGATGGGATACGTTCTTCCCTGATTTTGTAGGATTCAAAATATTGACAAAACCTAAAGTAAAGATTTTGTTTACGACCGGGTTCATTGAAACAAGAATTACGAATGGTCATGTTTGGATCATCGGGATTAGGAATAGGAATTTGTGGGATAGGTGGAGGATTTGGAGGTGAGTTTGGAGGTTGGCTAGAATGACTAGAGGAGGCCCTAGAACGTTTATGAGACATGATTTAAGGTAATCGAAATGAAAAGAGTAACCTGCAATTTTTAAAACACATGTATGCAAAATAATCAATCCCAAAACTCAATTGAGTCCTTAATATTTCAAGGTTCTCTATACCAATCCTAATGGGCAAAGTTTTTGAAAAACTATTGAAAAATAAGGTTTTGAGAGTCAATATACATATAGTTTTTATGATTACAACATAATTAAATCAAAACACAACAATTTTTTTTTTAATTTCGAAAATTTTCAGAATTTTGGAAAAATCTTGTGTTTTTGATAAAATTAGTTTTAGAATCTAGTTTCTAATCACTAAATAATCAATGCCCGATCTAAAGTTCGACCTAGAACTAATTAAACTAGTTCTATGTTCAAAAATTGATGAAATAGAAGTTTTAGAAAAATAACTTGAAGAATTTCGGATTTGAGTGAGATTAGATGAAGTTTGCACGATTTTGATGATTTCAACAGGTTTAGGAGATGATATTTGAAGAGAATTCCGATTAAAAATGTTGTTTTGAGGCAAAATGGAGATTTAAAAGATGGAGAGAGTTATTTGCGTGAAGAAAGAAGAGAAGAGGGTTTTGAGCAAAACATAAGGGTTCTGCCCGATAAAACCAGAACCCTCAGGGGGTATCGATTCCCCTGTGGGGGGAATTGGTTCCCCTTCAAAGGGGGAATCGGTTCCCCTTCAAGGGGGTATCGATTCCCTCTGCACCAAAAATGCTAAAATCTGATTTTAAGCACACAAAATGCTAAATTAATTTTCTCTAGTGGTATTGGCAACTCATATATAAAAAATTAATCATGTTCAATCAATCAAATTAATCCTTAAACTACATTTGAACATAAATGTATTTTTCATCAAGAATCATAAACTCCCCCTAACTAATAGCAATGAATGTAATCAGAAATTACTATTATAAGCATTTTTCATTTATTCTTTAAAGTGCTAAAATTATTTTAAAAACTAAGTGAAGATAGGTTGGTCAAACCTAATTCTCTCCTAAGTGTCCAAAATCTTTCCTTGTCTAAAGGCTTCGTAAAGATATCCGCTAATTGATGCAAAGTTTCAACAAATTCTAGAACTACATCTTCCTTAGTGACATGGTCTCTAATAAAGTGATGTCTTATTTCAATGTGCTTAGTTCTAGAGTGTTGGATGGGATTTTTAGTGAGACAAATAGCACTAGTATTGTCACACTTGATAGGAATAGTACCTACTTCAATTCCATAATCAAAAAGTTATTGTTTCATCCATAAAACTTGTGCACAACAACTACCGGCTGAAATGTATTCCGCTTCAGTGTTAGATAATGCAACACAATTTTGTTTCTTTGAAAACCAAGAAATCAACATATTTCCAAGGAATTGGCAAGTACCAGAGGTTCTTTTCCTTTCTAATTTGCATCCTCCATAATCCGCATCAGAAAAGGCATGCAAGTTAAAGTTAGAGTCTCTAGGATACCAAAGTCCTAAACTAGGAGTGTCCTTAAGGTATCTAAAGATTCTCTTAACAGCTAGTAAATGTGATTCCTTAGG